CACACACACACACACACACACACACACACACACACACACACACACACACACTCTTCATGTTCGTTCTTGTCTTCGTTCTGCTACATATGGGAGACAGCATGTTTCTGTGTCAGTTCATTGTTGATAAATTGGTCGATTTTAAGGACAAGCTGGCTAACCCAATTTTCGGGGGTTTCCAGAAATCTTGACCTATACCAAAAGTGGGCATTGCCCTACCTATAGGAAAAGTTTGCTTTCACTGGTGTGTCTGTTTGTTTGGTTACAGAGAATACTCTCCTTGTCTTTTAAAGAAACTGAAAAAGGGGCAAAAATTTTACCTTCGATTTTCTCAAAATAGCATTTTTGGGGATAGCCCCCGCCTTGTGCTTAAAAACGATCAATTGAACACTATATTAACTCACGAACTACACCAAGAAGGAAGAGTTTTAAGTCACTTGTTATTTACTTTCTATACATTTCCTGTCTACGTTCTACCAAAGAGTCTACATAACAAGAGGGGCCACTTCTCTCTTTGAGCCAATTAAAAAAGTGTCCTCAAAATTCGGTGGCGCCCTCTTCACAAAAGCGCACCTTTAGCGAACAGAGTTATCCTACTTGAGTTTAAAAAATCAAAGGGAAACTAGCAAGTTTTTTAATGAATTTCGGAAGAACGCTTTTTAAAAATTGTTACGCTGACAAAAAATATCTTCCGTTTTCTTCGTTTAATTTGACTTTAGAATGAAAGGCTAGAGGTCATTAAAATTTTAAAAAACTAAAACTTCGTACTGAACAAACCCGAACTGCTGATGAACAGCAGTCGATCTGCGCACGCAAGGAGGTGCTATTTCTATTTCTGCTTCTGGAAAAACGAAAGAGAGCTTCAAAACAGACTGCAGCGCCATCTGAAGCAAAGAGCATACTTCCTGCGGACACATTTTTGGCTGAGTGGCCCATCTTGTTATTTACTATCTTTGGTTCTACTACATATCATAATACGGGAGACAACTCGTTCCTGCTTCTATCATTAGACATAGATGACTGCAGCCCGGACCCCTGTCAGAACGGCGCCTCCTGTGTGGACCAGGTCAATGACTACCGCTGTGTTTGTGTGCCTGGGTACACTGACAAAAACTGCTCCACGGGTACGAGACACATGTACCAATTAAAAAATGGTATATGTTTAACGCCCCTATCAACACTATTAGGTTATTTAAGGGGCGGGACCTCCTAGTTTAACGTCCGTCTCCGATAGGACCGAGCCAAGTGGGAAGTTCGTGTAAAGTGCCTTTCCCAAGGACACAACGTCGGACCGAGCTGAGGCTCGAACCCCCGAACTCGCAATCTCACGATTACGAGTCCGGTAGCCTAACCGACGCCACTATGTACCAATTAGAAGAAATTAGTAAAAATATCGACCGACATTATTCTTTAACGTTGTTTTCTGCTAATTAAACGTTGTTCGGTGGGGTGGAAAGATTTTAGGAAAATACGAGTTTGTTAACAGTTGTTCTCACCAAAAAGAAGTCTTAAAAATCGAGCAAATCGCAAAATAATCACAATTTCTGAACTATGGAAAAAGTGATCTTTGTTATAGTTGTGTCTGTCTGTGTCTATCTCTGGTTTATCAATCAATTCACTCCCACCCCACCCCCTCTCTCTCTCTCTCTCTCTCTCTCTCTCTCTCTTTCTCTCTCTCTCTCTTTCTCCCTCCCTCCCTCCCTCTCTGTCTCATAACAATAAAAACAAAATAACAATACTTATGAAATCTAAACAAGCATTGGCGTTTATTCAGCTTAACTCCTCAAAAATAGTTTTGTGCTATTTGGTCATTTGTTGGTTAAGTGTCGAAGACGTAGTGTTTGTTATAATATTTCTAGACACCTTTTTGTAGCTCTGATTGCTCGGTGTCTCACAATCCAATGACACAAAGATCAATCTGTATTTTTTTAAGGTGTTGACCTCAGTCCCAGATTAGATGTCGCCACTTACTAATAGGTTAACTTCAAGGTGGATACTTTAGGCCAGTGCCCGCCAACCTGGGCGGTGGGCGGTACCCGCACAACAGAGGGTGACTAATATTTGATAATATTGTGGTGGGCAGAGGGGATCCTGCGGGTGGCGGTACGCGTTCTTTTTCATGCCTTTGCTAGGAAATTCAAGCAGGTACCGGTGCGAAAGTTTTAGCCTCTTAAATGGGGCAAAAGTGGCTGGTGCGAAAGTTTTAACCTTTTGAATGTGGTAAAAGTGGTCGATACAAAGATTTAAGTCTCTTAAATGTGGCAAACGTGGCCTGTCCGAAAGTTTTAGCCTCTTAAATGTGGCAAAGTGGCCTGTCCGAAAGTTTTAGCCTCTTAAATGTGGCAAACGTGGCATGTCCGAAAGTTTTAGCCTCTTAAATGTGGCAAACGTGGCATGTCCGAAAGTTTTAGCCTCTTAAATGTGGCAAACGTGGCCGATACACAAGTTTTAGTCTCTTAAATGTGGTAAAAGTTGGCGTTGGCAAACAAAAACGGCTGATAAACGCAGACTGGTTTGGACAAAACGATGTTCCTCCCACACAGACATAGACGACTGTGCCTCACGTCCATGTCAAAATGGCGGCACGTGTGTGGATCAGGTCAACAACTTCCTGTGTCTCTGTGTGCCGGGTTTCACCGACAAAACATGCTCTACAGGTAGGACGTCCTCTCTCACCTCCCCACTTGCCGGCATATATATCTGCTGATCGTATCTCTGGAAGAAGGGAGCTCAATATTAATTTGCTTTGGCTTCGGTGAAATACAAGCAGTCTTCTCCTTTCCCATAACCATATGCCAGAAGCTAGTATTTGCGCTTCAAATCATTACAGAATCACTTTTATCTAATCTCTCTGCGACTCCTCCCCACTTGTCAAAGAGAAACCTTTCTCCCCACCCCCACCCCCCTCTCTCTCTCTCTCTCTCTTTCTCTCTCTCTCTCTCTCTCCCCTCTCACTCCTTCTATATCTCTCTTTGACTCTCTATCTTTCTCTCTGCCCCCCTCTCTCTCTCTTTCTCTCTTTCTCTCTCTCTCTCTTTCTATCTCTCTCTCTCCCCTCTCACGCCTTCTATATCTCTCTTTGACTCTCTATAATTCTCTCTGTCTTCCCCCCTCTCTATCTCTGCCTCTCTCTTTCTCTCTCTCTCTCTCTCTCTCTCTCTCTTTCTTTCTTTCTTTCTTTCTTTCTTTCTTTCTTTCTTTCTCCCCCCCTCCCTCTCTCTCTCTCTCTCTCTCTCTCTCTCTCTCTCTCTCTCTCTCTCTCTCCTTCTATATCTCTCTCACAGCACCTGCCTACAGGTGTGTCTAAAATCGCACCTAGGGGAAACAAGCATGATCTTTCACCTTGTCTACAGTGAACAGCAAGTTGTCTTCTTTCACACAATCGTTTGCCACAAGGCAATACTTCAAACTTACGCCTGAAATCAGTGGCCCCGAGGCTTACGTTGATGTCACACTATTTCCCCCGCTGCTGTCTCTCTTCTTGCAGGAACGGGAGACATGACTTCAGAACGTCCTTATAGATATGAAGAAAATCCCAGTTTCGCCCCTACTGTTGTCTGTCAGAAGATGAGTTGCATCAATTTGTCTTCACAAGACAATACTTTTATAAACACCTGGTAGCTGTTTTCTAGAAAATCGCTTAATAAACAGTAATTCAAAAAATCCCAGTGGGTGGTATCTACATATTTAAATATAATAATATATCTTTAGAAAGCAAGTTCACCAGGTTTTCTATTATGCTTACTGAACGCATGTTTTGAGAATTTTTTTTTTTTTAAAATTTTGCCTCAATTGTCGTGGAAAAATATTATTAACTTAAAACAAATTGATACAAACTACAGTGCAAAGTATTGATGACAACGATTCACTCGTTGAAAAGATATTTGAGGATAAATTGCGCCACGAATTTTTGACTGCACAATAAATGGGTATTTCATTTTTAAAAAGAGCACAGAAACCTGCGACTGAAAATGCATATCCATAATAAATATTGTATAACTGCCTTAGTGTACTGGGTTTAAAGAACTAAACTTTAAAATAAATGTCATCTGACAAGCTCTTCTTTAAATTTACACTCAGATAGACTGATGAAATGTGTGCTCTTTTAATAAGGACTCACATGGCATAATTTTTCCTAAGAAAGTAACTTGTTTTCTGTTAAAAATCATAATTTTTTAACAAAATTGCAGGGCCATATTTTTATTTTTTATTTTCGTCTTGGTTAATGCAATGTAAGTAAAACTAATAAGAGAGAAAGTGGAAAGAGAAAGAAAGATGATTAGGAAGAAAAAGAAAGAGAATTGGGGAAGGGGGG